TTTTTGACAGTTTGATAGGGCAAAAAAAGCCTATACATATAACTGCATTTTTTTCATTCAACACCCGTCCCTGCTGAAACAGTGAACCAACGTTTCAACGTGTTTCGACTACTTTTACCATCCAACGGGGTTTCCTTTGTAAACTTTATTTCATTGTTCACCAGATACTTTTTCAATTTTTTCTTTTTTTTTTGGATAGCAAAACAACAAACAGAACAATAACAACTATACCAACAGCAAAGTACTGGTAAACAGAAGATAAGAGGAAGAACAAAGGTGAGTTTCCTAGACAAGTGCTTAAATTAGCCTATATAAATATTACAACAGATGAAAAAAACGATTGGAAAAATGCTGCATTACTAAGTTCTGATATAATTTTCAAAGAATAAAAAAAAAAGACTAGGAGTTTTTAGCTTAATTTATATGTTAATTTATCAGATTGAAAACGATAAAATATTTTGAATAATTGTTAAAGATACAAAGATTTAACTGTTACTAATTACGCACACCAAGATAAACTATGTGAAAAATCTGTCGGAACTACTGAATTATTACAGACAGTTCTGCAGTTAAATATATTCCCTGTCGCTGATCTGTCCACTAAACAATTCAGTTTAGTTTATTGAAAGAAAAAAAAAAACAGAAACTCTGTATAATTGCAGTAGAAAAAGCACACATACACATACAAAATAAAGACAAAGATCTGATATACTAATTAATGATTGAGCTAAAAAAAAGAAGATTTAAAGCTGCAAGAACTAATAAGCAGAAAAAAAAAACAGATTAAAAAAAGATGTGACTAAAAATAATGTAGTAATTGTTCGAAGAGAAATTATTCAACAATAAAATTTTTTTATATATCTAAACAGTAAATAATCTTCAAAATCAGAAAAAAAAAAGAAGTGAAAAGAAAAGATGTGAAAAAAACCTAAACTGAGGAAATGTGTTTAAAAGCTGTTGAAAAATGTTTATTTGCTTCAACTAATTGAAGTTATTACCATTCAGTGCTATCAGTGTTACTTTTTTTGTTTTTTCCATTGGCTTAGTTTTTTCTACTACTGCTCTTCCGCTTATTACTTTCATTTTTGATTTAGTTTAGTTAGTTGCCATGTTGAATTGAAGAGGTAAGTATAAATAAACAATTGAATATTATGTAAAAATTGGTTATTTCCTTTTTGTTTTTGTCAAATTGCATGAAAAAAAAATTTTTTGATTTTTCATCCCGTGATTTTTTGTCTTTCAAAGCTAAAAACCAATAAAAAAATTTTTTCCAAATCAAAGTTTACGGTAAAGTACCAATGTACTTCAAAATCATGCGCTGTTCTGGTTAATAAACCAAAAAAATAAAGGAAAAAAATTCTCCATTTAGTTTTTTTTCTCCTATTATGATGCTGAAAGTGATCAAAAAAATTAAGTAAGAAAAAAAAAA